CGGCCCCCGGCCGCCGCGTAATTAGCCTTCGTGCTCCCAAAGCGCGCCGCCGCCACCGCCGCGCCCGACGCAGCGATGGGCAACACCGTGCATAGGACCCCGCCAGGTACGCCGGGGATCCCTGGCGGGAGGCGGGCGCCGGTCTTTTCTCTTTCGAGGGACCCGCCGGGTGACTCCCGGAGAGCACCCCCCACGTCCCTCGGAGCCCTCGGCGCGCGGCGGGCTGGAGTCTCCGGTGCCTCCGGATCCCAGCTCCGGGCGCGCCCCGCGGCTGGGCTTTGCACTTCAGGAGGGCGGGTACGGCGTCCTGGTTACCTTGGGGACCCCGGTGCTCGTTCTCCCGGCTTTGGCAAGATGTGCGAAAGGGCCGCTGGGGCGATGCCCGCGCCCCCTCTTCTTTGTTCCAGCCGGAGGGCGCTGATGAACGAGTCCGGGGCGACCCGGGGGGTGATGGAGCCGGGCTCGCCGGGCTTCCGACGGCCAGAAGCCGCCAGTTGTGCCGAGACTGCAGCTGCTGAGAGTGGGGGGTGCTGTCAGGGCTACCCCAGTTTGCAGCCGCCGAGCCCCCCACCTCGGCGCGTGCTGCCTTCCCTTGGCCGCGTTCCCACGCGCACCCCGGCTGCGCCCCCCTCTGGTGTCCGCTCAACTGGGGGCTCTTTAGCCCCTCGGAGTCGCTGCTACAGACCGCATCGCCCCTAGTCCAAACCACCCCAGAATTTCCGGGACCAGAGTACGGGGATGCAGAGGGGGGGAATGGGTTGGAGTTGGGAGGCAGAGGAGGCCTTACCGGAAAATACCTGGTAATTGTGGGAACAGATCAGCGCGCGAGGAGGCTCTGTGCCCGGCAGTTTGCATATTAGAGCGCGGTATGCGAAGAAGCTTCTCGATAAAGACGTGTATCCCAGTGTTACAAATGAAGAGGCTGAGGATCCAAGGAGGGGAAATGACTCACCCAAGGTCACACAGCGAGTACTAGGAAAATCTAGATTGGGACCCGTGTCTGTCTGCCCGTCCTCCCACGACTCCCCCATGTCTTTAGACATATTGCGCCTTAACCCTGGATATTTGTAGCATCCTTTGGACATCCTTTGAGAGGGTGTGTGGGTGTGTGTGGGGGGGAGGTGTATTTAAAGTACAAAAGCTCAGCTCAGTGAGGAAGCAAGCCAGCTGTGGGGCAAATTAGGTGTGAGGTTTTAGGAGAGGGACATGTTACCCCATCTCTGCTTGAACACTCCCACATAGCCCTCCCTTCTAAGCATTACATGCAGTTATCAAAACCGGGGTATGGAAGAGGAGCCAACTCCTATTTTATAAGCCTCTGGACAACTTTAAGGCAACTGTACTCATACCTCCAAATTCTCAGAGAGGTGAAGCCACTGGCAGAGAGTCACCAGCTAGTCAGTAGCAGAGGTAGGATTGGAACCCAGGTCTGCTTTCTGGAGGGTGGTCTCTACCTCCTGTGGACATGGCTATTGCCAGGATAGGGGAGAACCCACCCATTGTGTCAGGAGGTATTGGGGATGTTCTGGGGATGTTCTCGTAGCCACAAAGACCCTAGGCTGAGACACCTCAGCACGGGTCCCTTTGTTCCATTTCTTGATTAATAAATGTTTGTGCTGTTCTAGTGAAAAAGCCATTCTGCCATGTGTGGGTCATCCTTGGGGTGGGGAAGGGACAGACCCATGCTAGGTAGGCTAAGTATAGCTGGAGCATTATGTAGTCTCCATCCCACTCAGTCCTGGCTCCTGGGACTGGGCCACCCCAGGCCGGGAACCTGAGGGTGAGTGGGTTACCCACCGCAGTGTCTGAGTGTGGGAAATTCATACTGTCCTCTGGGGCTTGAACTTGCATTGATTTTGAGGAAGGGGACAGAACTGAAATTCCTGAGCCACATCAAGTTGCAGTTGCAAAGAATAGGAAGGACAGTTTATTGTTTTCTGACCTGCCTGTAATTAGTTTGTTGCACACACTGTGCCATTTTTTTACACCTCTGTGCTCAGCATGTGATGCTTCCCACGCCTGGAATAGCCTTTCTTGTGTAGTCCATCTTTCTGAATCAAGCTCAGTTGTCACCTACTCCAGGAAGCCTTCCTTGTCCACCCACAGTCCCATCTTTTGCTCTCCTACCTGGATGCCTTAAGTCCCTCCTTGTTCTTCTGACCACATTGTATTGCTGTCACCCATCTCCATGACTCTCCTGGGGGTTCCCTGAGGACAGAGCTCATGTCTTGATCATCTTATATCGCTGGTTGCCCATCCCAGAACCTGGTGTCTGACAGGAGCTCAAAAACCGGAGCTCAAATGTTCAGCCTGAATCTTAGACTGAAAGAACACTTGGCTCAGTCTTGCCCTCTAGAATCCTTGTGCTTTCATTCTCAGGAAAAGGACACATGCGTGGGGTTTGTTCTACGGGACTTGAAATAGAGAGTTGGCATTTGCTGAGCACCTGGATTCTATGCCAGGCTTCCTGCATATGTGGCTTCATTTACACTCCAAGCTCGCTTCTCCTTAAGGCTCCTGCACTTGCTGTTCCTCTGCCTGGAACATTCTTCCCCTACACCTTTACCTGGCTCCCTCCTAGCTTCCTTGAGGTCTCTGCTCCAAATGTGGGTCCTGCCATTGCCCTGCGTCCAGCCCTTCCCCCCCCGTTGACCCTGCTTTATGTCTCTTCTTGGCATGTATCACCAAGTGACATGCTGTATGAGTAGTTAGCTAGCTGTTTATTGTCTGCCTCCCCCAGGTAGATTTTGTCTGCTTTGTTCACCACTGTGTGTTCAGCACCCGGATTAGTGGCTAGTACATAGTAGATGTTCAGTAAGTATAGTTGAATGAATGAATGAATTTAATTCTCCCAATGGCCCTTCAAGGTAGGGATTATGATCCCCATTTATGGATGAGAACTAAGACTAGAGAGGTAAAATGACTTGTCTCAGCCCACGTGGCTCATCCAGTTGGTAGAACCAGGATTGAAATCCAGGTTTATTTAGCTACAAAGTCCTGCATTCTGCCTCTGACATGAAGTATCCTCTCATCCCATGGTTTAGATAATATTTATTGGGTGCCCCACCATGCACATGACATGCTACGGTATTCAATAAGGAAATACCAAAGAAAAGGAAGGCCATGTATGAGTGATTGCAGGGCAGCCCCGTAGCAGCTCTTATAAGATGCATCAGCATATTCAGACAAATGTCCCTTAAATGGACGTGTGTAGGGGTCAGCACGGGCCCTCAAATCTGCTAAGCTCTACTGTGTGGTTTACGCATTCTTTTTCCAGTTGCAATTCGATCCTGCAAAGTAAGGTGCTAGTCTCCTCATTTTACAGATGAGGAGACTGAGACACAGAGAGGTTAAGACACTTGCCCCAACTCACACAGTTAGGCAGTGGCAAAGCTGGGGCTTAGAAGACTGAGGGCAGTCTGAGTCATAATGCCACGTGTTTGTTTTCTCTCAACTCCATTAACCTTAATCTGGGTTTTGAAAGAAAAAAACATGTAAATGGGTATGGATAGGGGAGGGCAGCATTCCAGGATGGGAGATGGGGTGGGAGGAGGGACTTTTCCCACCAGCACAGTCTAATACTGTCCCTCGCGCCTTTGGGGCTCACCTGTAGTTCTGGTTGGAGAAGAGGCAGAATTCAAACTGTAGGTTGGGTTTAATCATTAAGTTGTTCCACACTTGACCAATAGCCTTTTTAGCGTAAGTTCAGTAAGCGAGCATTTCGGAACTTTAGAGTGTGGAAAGTGTGTTGACACTGCTCTGTGCCGGCCCTGAGCTGGGGCTCTACCCACACTATCTATTTTAAATCCTCATAACAATTCTTTAAAAGGGCTATATTTATCCCCATTTTACAGAGCAGCCACGGGAGGCTCAGAGGGATAAAGGACAAAAGCACACATACAAAAAGGCAGAGAACCGGTCTTCCTAACCTTGATGGACAGTTTGCAACTGCAGCATGCAGACGGGGAGGCACCTGCACCTACCTAGACACCCAGACCCCTCCCCTGCAGAGCCCTTTTCTCTATTTCACCTGGATGAAGAGCCATGCACAGCCCACATGGGCAGATCAGCTGCTCCCCGGCTTCCTATCAGAGCAGTGGGTGGTGATGCTCCCAGGGCCCGGCAGCCACTGTTTTCCTTGGATCTGGACTTTCTCAGCCCTTGGAGGACAGTGACCTTTGTCACTCTCTCTCAGCTATGGCAATAGGTGCATGGATGGCCCAATGAGTAATCTTCCCCTATCTCTTCCCACCTCTCTGCCTCCTTCGCCCAGTCACAATTCAAAGTTAAGTTGTGCTTTCCTTCCCTGACCCTGCCCTGTCTGCCTGCCTCCCACTAGCTGAGCTCCTCAAGTGATAGACATTTCTCCAATATTCCTGAGACCTCTGTGGCTGTCAACACATGGTTGGGACCTGACTATCCAAGGCTCCTTGGTGACAGCCTATGAGAATGTGGGGGCTGGAGTGGGGGGTGGTAGGAGTGGAGTGATCTTATCCATCAGTGGACATTGGGGAGAGAGAATGGGGCCTGTCTATTGTGTAGGAGCAGTGGAGAAGTTGCCCATGGCAACTAGAGCTGAAAGGAGCTAGGGTCTTACTCTATATTTATCCTCTTTCTATTGCCACCTCTGCTCCCTTCTCTCCCTCTTCTCTGGCTATAGGAGTAAGGAAAGGCTTCCTGGAGGAGGTGACATCTGAAGGAAAGTTCAACTGAATACCTGCCCCCACATCCGAATATCATCTCCTTCTGCCTGCCTTTAGTATCTTCTGTGGCTCGGTTGCCCAGAGGCAACCCTGATCTACGCTTAAGTGCCACATACCCAGGCTGGGGAGACACTGGGGTCGGCCCTGCTTTTCGTTTTCCTGAGTTCAAACCTCAGCTCGGCCATTTCTCAGTGGTGTGACTTCTCTGTGCCTCAGTTTCCTCACCATGAATCAGGGAAGCTAGGGGTAGCTCCCTCATGGTTGGCAGTGGTGAGAATTAAGTGGAATAGAGCAAATGAGTGTTTAGCACAATGCCTAGGATGGTAGCTGTCATGGTTACTGTTGCTGCCCTGGAAAGAGAGGCCTTGGGCCTGCTCCAGGTGACCATGAGCCTCGAACCGTG